TATAATTCATAAAAAATCTTCTGAAATAGACTTATAATTATTCATACTTATTCATTTTTTATTATTAAAGCAAACGAAAAACTATACTTAATTATTGAATTTCATGAAAACACTGATTAATCTGAATAAATAAACAAACAAAACAACAAATAAAATATTCATAATAAAGCTAATGTATCACACTACTAAAGTATAGATTAAAACGATCCATCAAGAGAAGCATCTTTTTGGAGATAACACAGACGAGCAAATAACAAAAGAAAAAAATAATAATAGAAACAATACCCATCAAAAATCAAATTAGAAAATTTTCTCTTTATTTACATTTGATTATCATATTATTTTATCTTCTGATTCACCTAAAATATTGAATTGAATACGAATTAATTTTTATTATGATGAAAAAACAAACATACTTCTCGATCGACTATTTTCATAATTTTTTATTTTCGGTGGAGAACGAGATGAATGATGAGAACTCTCATTACTTTTACTACGTCGACGCTTTGATGACGAAAGATGATGTGAATCAAAATAAAGTTCAACATAACGATTACCTATAGAAAGTTTTAAAAAATCTTCTTTTTTTCCAAGAAACATAACGAATTTTCTGTACCCATATATTTTCTATCACATTTTACAGCTTCATTGACTTCATCCATTGTACTAAAATAGACATGAGCATCACCATTTGGTCGATTTGTACGACGGTCGTTTAAAATTTCAATATGCACCGGTTGACAAGATGATGGAAAAAACTAAAGTAATTTCTATTTAGTCAATTAAATTTTTTTGAAATAAACTATACCTCTCGAATATCGTTTTCAACTACAGTATAAGGCATACCACGCATTTTAACAAGGTATTCTCCATTATGAATAGATGTATGTGATGAACGACGTACTGGACTTCGACTATGACTTCGTCGACGAGAACCATCATGTGATTCTATTCCACAAAAAAACAAAACTAAATAAAATTTCAATTTATGGAAAAAATTTATTTTTATATATGTAGGTTAATTGATTTTGCAAAAACTCCAATCCCTTAGAAATTAAAACCTACGTTGACTTGTACTTTCTGATTGAGCTATAAAAGAAAAATTAAATCATTCACTTTCTTTGCTGGATACTTTTTTTTTAAGTGTAATTAAAAAAATAGATAATCATTTCTTTACTTACGATGAGATCTTGATCGAGAAGAAATTGATGGTGAACGATGATATTGTACTAGTCGATGATGACGATCTATTTCGGGAGAGGATTTAAAATACTTAGTATTCTTAAAATTTATTCGTTTACTTCGACTAGTTGATCGTGAACGTCGTCGGCTTCGATTGTTTCGTGTATTCTTATTTTTATTATCTTCATCATCACTTTCACCTGCAAACCGTTTGCCATTTAAATAAGCATCATTCGTAATTGTTTTTTTTGCTTCACCATATGTCGATGGAGATAACTGAATGTACCTATAGAAAACAAAGTTCAAGATTAGTTTGTTTTTTAATTACAAAACTATCATTAGCGAGATAATGAAAATAAATACAAACATTAACTAAAACGTACAGTATATATGCACACATAGCACACGTATTACGACACATATATATATATGAATTTGTTATCTCTACCTGACAGAGATCTGGGCAGCACCATTGATGATGACACCTCACCTCTGACCTGTCCCTCCTTATATTTTCTTTTTTCATTTTATTCGTTCCTTGTTCAAATCTGCTGGTTTTTTTCCTCGAAAATCCATGCTCAGCCGAACCTGTGTTGAATATGCTTTTGATCATAAATATCAATTGCTTTATAGGCATTATCCATACTAACAAAAGCCACATATCCACCACCCAAAGCATTATCCGTCATATCTCGTGTTATATAAATACCATTTCGAGCTATTGCAATATCTATATATATATATATACATTCATTGCAAAGAAAAAATAATAATAAAAATAAACTTTTTTTTTTCATTTTAAAAATACCTTTAAAAAAATTTTGTACATCAGCCATTGTACATGAAAATGGAAGGCCATTCATACGAATAACAGGTTCACGCCATGATATCATACCTTTATGTTTAATAAAAAAATTGTATTCATAAATAGTTGCTCGCGAAACTAAATATAATAATAAATTGCAGGACAATAAAATATTTAATTTATATTTTATACTTTCAATATAGCGATTTCCTATAAATTGATTGGTTTTTCTTAGAGCATTTTTAACATCTGTTTCTGATTCAAGATCAACTAAGCATTCACCTGATGAACTAACACGATTATTGAATAAATGTAATGTATCAATACGACATGCTATAAGAATAAGAAAATTAATTTAACTAATTAACTAGTTAATGAAAAAAAAATTAACTTACGATAGAGAAATTTTTTAATATCATCTTTCGTTGATGAATATGGAATACCACGAAGTTTAATTAAATAATCATGATTACGTAATGTTTTACTACTACTTCGATCATCTTGTCGATCTCGTTCTCGACTCATCGTCCTTTTATTGAATATTCAAATATGGATGCGCAAGAGAGCGCAGCAAATCTGATAAAAAAATTTACTTTATGAATTGAAAATAAATTTAGCCTTGTTAATAGATCATGAATGTACATTTCAAGGCGCGAGATTAGAGTCAATGACAAAAAAAGGGAAGAACGAAAGCAAGGTAAAAAAAAAGATCAAATAAATAATCAAGACCAACCACCGACGGTCATGTTGTCGTCGTATCTACTACCTATATTCGTTGACCCCCAGCAATAGAAGTAATCCAATAGTAAAGTGGCGCTACCATCCACAAACTAGCGACTTCATTCAAATGATAAGTATTAAAATAGACATCGAAAATTTTAACTGTTCTTTTTCTCATCTCATATTGAAACATTTTAATTTTAGTTACTATTCATCAAAAGAACAATTATCGATGTTTCTCTAATTGTTTGTTCGAGCGTGACCTAGCACTTCAATCGAACGATGCAAACTACTATTAACTGGTTAGTCTGAGTTCTTACTTAGTCAAACATACAAAGAAACGATAATGATCAACAGTTTGTTGTCACTTCGGGACCTATTTTTACATGTATAAGCGAAGGAGAGATAAGAATGAATAAATAATAGTGGTACTTCTTATTTAATATGTCAAGAACGTTGATTGAGAAGAAAAAGCAATGTATAAATTTTATGCTTAATAATCATAGTTTGTAAACGCTTTCATATTTATTTGACAACCCCAACCAACGAATAATTACTTTTATTGATCATGCACAATAAATAGAAAATCAATCTATCAAACCATTATTTTGAGGATACTAAGCAAATGAATTGAATCTTATGAATAACAAATCCATCCGCTCTGTTTACTCTTTATGACATTGTCGGATAATATTCAGCATTGTGATTGTACATATTCGACAGGTATGAAGTGTCAAAACGAAAAAAATACATTTATACTTCAGGGTAACATTCACAGGTACCTACCGTTTTGTTGTTGAATCAGAACTTAGAGCATCATGAAGACCTTAATAAAAACTGTCTATCATAAAACGATTTCGTGTTTATGGTCTATTTTGGAGAGGATTGAACACTATTCAGGAGTCTTTGTCATCGGACTTTGTATTTGCAGCAAGACCATGTGTTCAAATTCCGACTGGAAACTTTTTTCACATAGATTTCATAGAATATTCTTAGAAGTTTTATTTCATATGATTTCATCCATAAAAATTGTTTCGAATGATTGGCATCAATATTAATGTATCAAATCATATGTTTCGAATCATATGTAGAAAATCAATTCATGAAACTTGTTCCATAATCACTGTGACCTGATCAATAATTCTTATTTACCTATCAACAAGAGGTTTTATATAAATTTCAGTGAAAAATATTATGTTGATATGCAAATCGGAATCTGTAATGAGATCACAGTGATCTTAGAACATGCTTTATGTATTGGTTTTCTATATATATTTCAAAACATATAGTTTAATGTGTTAGTGTTAATGCCGATCATTTGAAACCATAGTTATAAGTGAAAGCATCTGAAATAAAACTTTCGAAAATATCCTATGAAATGATGAAAAGCTCGTGTGAAATGCATGAATCCTTGATGATTTATTGCAGTTTTACTTGAAGAATGATTTTTGGAACATCCGGTATAAAGATTTCCATCAGGCTAGTGTTCATAAAAGATTCTTCTAATTATTGAACTAATTACGCCTCTTCAAGATATGAAGCTTTCAAAAAAATACGTGTGACATATACTATCTATTGAAAAGAGCTTACATATTGAAAGTTCTATATCTCGACGAAATTTAGTCAAATAATCAAGGATTTTTCCTACAAGCTATTTTATTTGAGCCTTCATATATGGACTAAGTTTGAAGTTGAAATTCGAAAGTATGATCATATTGCAAATGTGGGTTTCTACAAGAAAAACTGACTAAAAAGTGTTCGATCTCCTCAAAGATAAACTATAAACACGAACTCTCTGTATAATATACATAATTAACAAAGACCGACAAAATCCGCTAAGTCTTGGTTCAAAAGTCAATTTACATTTAGGTATGTGCCCTCGTTAATTGATACAATCCAAAGATGAATTTAACTTTAACATGTTGATATTTACTACGGCTCGAAATGTCTGACATATTTGCTCAATCAAATCTTGATGTCATGAAATCAATATTCATGCTTATTATCACCATATTTTAGAAGATATTTCATACAGAAAAATTATGGAACAAATAGATCTTAAAATGAAAACTATATTTATGATAGCAGCTGTATGTGACTTGAAAACTTGACAAATACAATTCAAAAGTGAATATGTCGAACAGATTTCATTTTGCTTTGTCTGATAATTACTTATGTCAGTAAAGCATCACGATAAAGCGGAGAGAAAATGATAACCATTGTGGTGGAGTAAAAATAATACCGGTCAAGAGACTCATTATGGAATGATAATAGAAGATTGAAAAGTATTTGGTTACGACGAGAGATCTTCATAAGTATTTCGATAAACATCCGGTAAAGAATTAAAAAGTTGTGGCTTATATCGTTTGATATATTTAACAGCATTCAAATGACCTTGATTGACTTGTTGAATTGATGGTATTAATTGAAGAATATTTAGAAACATGTCCGGTTCATCTATAAATAATCATTAGCACAATCAAAATATTTCAAAGCATAAAAATCTACTTGGATGATGATGTCTTAAATGTCTATACAAAACTTGCATAAGTTTACTTTCGATCTGTCCAATCATTTCTTTATTACACAAGTTGGGTCTCTCTAAAAAACAAAACATGCTGCTAAAATGATAGAAACTATACAAAAAAATATTCTTTTACAAACCTGGATTCATAAATAAAAGTGCATTAAACAAAGCTATATCACTGTCTGTCCATTGAAGATGACTGGCTCGCATTCCCAAATCAAATATTTCTAACATAAATATGCTTAATGTTTTTATATTCTTAATGAAGTCTCTGTTCATATAAGCTGAAAAATCCGATGTAAGCATTAATTTTCGTTTTGCATCGAATAAAGTGAACCAACTGACGAGCAAAGTTTCAAAAGCTCCTAAACAAAAAAAACAAACAAATAATCAACATTCATGAATTTCAAACAGATCGTTCTGGCTGAAATTGTAGGGCTACCAGTTTGAACGAGATTGTTTACATGCTGCCGACCTTCTAGACTTTCGAGAAAAGAAAATCGAATGTGAGTGTATGCGTTCAAGTATGGTTGATGCAAATATGAAATAAGATTTCCTCGAAACCATTGCCAAACTGAAGAAAACAAATGTTTATTAATATTCGCCGATTTTTGTCTGACCAAATGTACAGAGAAAGACCTTAACAAGAGTAGTTGACTGTGGAATTTTCAAGTCAAAATTCGAAAATCATTCTTACTGGTGTTCTTGAAGAAAACCATGTCATTCATTTAAAAAATACCACAAAACTGCAGTATTTAGACTGCAATAAGCTAAGAATCTAAACATTTTTTCAGGGTATTCATAGCTTATTTGGGTCTACATAATGTGTGCAGCTCCAACTCAAAAGTAGTTAGTTAGTTTGAAGACTGGTCTTGTAATTGCAATGTTTTAGATGCAAAATCTGAAATATAGTCGAAGCTAATCATTGAACAGCAAATTTGAATGAACAATACTTTTTGAAACAAATGAGATGTTCGCTAGTTCCGTTCATCATTTCGCTAAAGAGAAACACACGGTGTCAGAACTCATGCCACCTGTTTTCACAAAAAAAATGGCTTGACAGGCTCGAATTTTATCATTATAGTTTTTGACACCGTATGGTTCTGTATAGTGAAATGATGTACAGAGCTTGTACGCGTCTCATTTTATTTCGAAAATTATCGTTTATTCGAATTTATTACTCAAAAATCAGCTCCGCCTATATTTCAAATTTTGCAGTCAAAGTATTGAAGTTACAGGATGTTTTCAAACTATTACGACTTCATCAATAAACTGTTTCTTTAAGGAAAACACTCAGTAGAAGCCTTTCTATCTGTGTGTATAACTTTTAAGCAAAACTAACGTTTCTTTGATTCTCAAATAATAAACCTTTCATGCTGAGTCTATTATTTTGATTAGATAAATGTTGACAAGTTTCAACAAACATGGGTTTTCTATTGCTTGAGAATAGTGTCGAGGAAACTTAGTTTGATATTTGAATATGCATACTCGAATGCATGTATTCATATTGATTTCTTCTGTTCTCAAAACTCTGAACAGATCAATAACGAGTAAACAATATTATTCAAATAGGTAGCCCTATAATTTTGACCAGAACTATATTTTTTGAAAATAATACCATATCGAAATAAACAAGTTTGATCATTGAATGAAACTCGCTGAAAAAGTGTATTATATTTAAATACTTTAAAAACACTTTCAAGTGGAATACTTGATAGCCAATTAGTCCATACTAAAATTGGATCAGAATTAAAATCATCACTCTACATATAAAAAAATTTTCATTATTCAATTGACAGATGGTAGTTTGTTTTTTTTTCTGTTATCTTACAATTGAATTTGCCCAAATAGGTAGATTTTCTTCAATTTTAATTTTAATTTTCTCAAATGTACATACACAAAATTGAAGATGAGTATTAATAATAACTTTTGCTGTCTGATCAATTTCTTTTATTTCAATATCGGTTAATAATTTTTCTTGATAAATTAACATTGATGATAATTTTCGTAGAATCTCTTGATGAATTTCTGGTACGATTGTTATTTGACGATGTTGAAAAAGACAATCAGGAAAGTTTAAATTTGACGGTTGATCAGTTGATGAAAATCTTTTGGATATCATTGAATTAATTGAATCCATACTATTGATTAATGAATTTTGTTCGTCTCGTTCAATTGATGATGTTTGTTGCTTATAAATATTTGAATCTTTATTTATAAATTGTACTTGTTGTTGACATTGAATTTCTTGTATAGATATTTTTGATAATGATGAATTTGTTATTTGTTCTTTGACATTTTCAATTATATTTCTAGTATCAGAATGTAATCGTTTAGGTCGTCGACCTAATCGTGATGCTTGTCGACTCATACCAACATTAAAACATTTTTTTAATCGACAATATTGACAAGAATTACGATTAAATGATGTTATTTCACAGTTACCCATATTATTACAATGATGTGACATTCCTTGAGATATAGATCGACGAAAAAAACCCTGTTTTTAATTATCGAAAAAATTTTTAAAATTAAAATTAAAAGTTTACCTTGCAACCTTCACAAGAAATAACACCATAATGAAATCCACTTGATTCATCACCACATACTAAACATGGAGTGTAAACAGTTGTTGAATGAGAAATTTTTTCATTATTAAGTTTTGATAATTTTGTTATTGTAATATTATTATGATCAGAAAATTGTTTTTGTTCAAAATTTATAATTGACGTTGATAATTCTTCGTCATTCGGTTGATAAGTTGTGTCAAGAAGATTTGAAACTGAATGCGATAAATAAAGATGATTATGGGAAAGAGTTTTTATCGTTAATTGATCATCTTTGGAACTATGACATGTTAATTCAATATTATTATATACATTATCTATATCAATAGTTTTACTAATATCTATAGAACATTGTTTTGATTTATATGGATATTGATATGAATGAGTTATTTCAATTATAGGATGCAAATTGAATTCATCATAACTAGAATGTTGTTGTGAATATACTATGCATATGATGTATAGAGTTTGATATGATAATGAAAGAGAGAATCAATTGGATTATTTTCGATCAAGAGTAGTGGACAAAAGATTCCAACTCCATGTATCTTGGCTACTCTAAATACTAGAAGTCTGAAAATTTGTATGTACATACTATACTAAGAATTTAGTTCAGAAGTGCGAAGCCATGAGCATTGCTTAGTTATAATGAGAATGATGCTGAAGAATGCCAATCGATACTTCAAGCTTTTAGCTTGAAAATGATTGTCTACTAAACTTTTTGTTACCTACTATCAAGTACATGACTAATTCTTAATATTTTAGCATGCAAGTAAATTCTAGTCTGTGCTTTTTTTTCAAGTCAAAAGATTAAGTAAATCAATCGAAGATTTTTGTCTCTACATATGTTCGAACTGTCTGTATCAATACGATGATTATTCGGATGGTATTTTCAATTAATATGGTAGATAATCGAAATTAATCGCTGAATAATGCAGTATGGACTGACCCATAAAGTTTTTTTTTTCAGAATTATGAAGTCAAAGAGATAAACATAGATGCGAACCATTACTATCCATAATAGTTCTCGTTCCATTTAAACAATACAGGTAAGCTCATGCCTTTCGCTTACATTCTTAGTGCAGTATGGTTACATAAATTTTTGAACCTATAATATGTGTGGTAGTCGAGCTATAACACTAGGAGATTTTTGTTCACTATTGTAGTTTATGCTATAACTAATTCCTGATCTTGAAATACATTACTGCTTTTTGTTTACTGGTATTCTTTTTTTCATGCATGTCTATATCATTAATGACCGTCGGTCAAAAAATTAGACTCATATTTTCTGAAACTTACCATTGTTGTTAGTATTCGTCCAACAATCGAGCCACATTTCATTCATGAATATTCTTTATGTAGATATGTGTTACTCGAACGATGTATCTTTTCTAATGATCAAACATTCACTTGGGTGTTACCTCTATTTTCTTGTTCGCGACACTTTATTTGTTTAGTATACTTCCTTCCTTCCTTCCTTCTGCCTCATCTATCAGCTATAGTATGATTGACCAACTCCATCAATCAAAATTCGTTCTTTACATCTTTGAGAGTAAGGTCAAGTAACGAGCACCAATTAAATAAAAATAAGACATGGACAGAATGAACAATCGTGTATATGTATGAAAGAATGAGTTATTTAGGGATTATGATATCTATCGCCGTTCAGTATAGGAATACACAAAAAGAGAGATGATAGTAATTGACAAAAAGATCATAGGATTTTGATATGATCAGAAAAAAGTAACTAAGTAACTAATAAAGCTATTTAAAGATGAATAGGTCATGAACAAGAAGTGTTACACAGATAAGAATTAAGTTTCTCTAAAATATTGAAGTGGACGATCAGCCATGGTCGATAATGAAACTATTGCCCAGCACATCACAATGCATTACAACATTAAAGATCAAAGCTTTTCGACTTTTGTTTAGACCATGACTATGTAATGAGTACAAAAAAAAAATGTATGAACGAATGTACTGGATTTGAAGTATCAAATTCTTGTTAATGTCTTTTCCAAGATTCTGAAAGAAAATCGAATTGTACATGTCTATTTATTTCGATAGGAAAATCAACAATTACACATAGATGAAGTGAAACAGTGGCTGATGATATGAGATCAGTTGAAGAAGTGAACTCATTAAAATTGAACTTTGTCTTCTAATACTCAATGATCGGCTTCTCAAACATGTACTGCCAATCAATCTTGATGAATTATGTGTTGTTCATTGAGTTTTATATTTAATTTTGATCATATTTGAATGATAAAATATTCTAAATAAAATCAAGTTAACATGGCAAAAAGATTATTTACAAAGTCGGAAGAATCTATATCATGATGAATAATACTTACTGTGAATTCTTCGCTTATCATTTTCAAATACACATTTTCCGTATTGAACAGTAACAAAGAATGATTGTCATTAATGATTATTTTTCTTTTCCTAATTCTACTTTGGTTTAGTACAAGAACAATTACTAATCATTCTTTCTATTATTCGATGTGCAGAGTTTTTGGTCTCGTTTATTGTTGTTATATTTATAAACCAAGTTTGAAGTTTTTCATGATTTAAGTATCGTGTTCAACATTAATTAATGAAAACAAATTATTCATAGTAGTAATCATCGATCTCGTTGTAAGTTCCTTAGTGAATAATGGATCATGTCTGCTTCATGTGTACGTTTCGTGTACACAGAATAGTATGAAAACTTTATTTTTTCATTTTTTTTTAGTCTATTAAGCTAAACTTGTGCAACTTATTTATCAAGACTTATTTTCAGATAATCTCTTGAAAGTTAAACATATGAAATACTGTGAGATAATAGACAATAGAATTTGAAATGAACAAACATTATCACTAGATTGCTATACACTCAACAATAGTAAAATTATGTTACAGCTTAAGAAGTTTTTTGTTTTTGTGTAACAATTAATATTGAATGTCGAATTAGATTGTTCGAATTATAATAATTGCCCTTTTTCTCTATAAATCATAAGTATCTGGAAATACAAGTGCACAAAAGGACATCTAGTACGTACTCGATTGATTTCATTATTATCTGTTAATACATGCCTGGATTGTATACAATGCTGTCGAACAATAATCACATGTTATCAGTTAGAATATTTCTTCTCTCTCCTTCGATCTATAAATATAAACAGATGAAAATAGTATACATCCAGTCATATTGAACAACTTTTTTTTTTCGATTTAAATAGTGGTCATGCCTCGTGATAATAATGGTAGAATAGTCTTTCTATGTTATATTTTTTGTTAATTTAAATTATTTATTTATTTATTTTTTAGGTACTTTATTTGATGATGTGCATGCCGATCTTCGATATGACACATCACGTCGTTCTCATAATACGAATCTAACAATAACAACAACAACAACAACTCGTATTATCGATGGTCATACATTTGATTTAGTCGGTCGTTATTCAGTACCGAAAACGATTGGTTCCGGTGCATTCGGTCATGTTATATCAGCATGGGATAATTTATTACAACGTAAAGTAGCAATAAAAAAAATTCGTTTACCACCACTCAATTCTGAAGAAGCTATGTTATTTTATTCTCGTTCATTACGTGAAATATGTATATTACCACCGCTTAAACATGATAATATTGTTCAAGTCTTAGATTGCTATACATCAGCATTATGTGCTGAACAAATGACTGAACTTTATTTAGTAACCAATTTAATGCGTCTTGATTTACATCAACTTATTAAAACAAATAAACAACGACCGAATGATATGAGAATAATTACTGCTAGTCATATAACACATTTTCTTTATCAAATATTTCGAGCACTTAAATTTATTCATTCAGCTAAAGTTAGTAAGTAATCAATAATTTTTATTTATTTTAAATAAATGAAAACGAATTAAACTTTATTAGTGCATCGAGATTTAAAACCAAGTAATATTTTTGTTGATCTTGATGGACATTTACGTATTGGTGATTTTGGTTTGGCTCGTGTACCAGAAGAAAATTGTGATACACCAATGACAAGTTATGGTTCGTCACTGTTCATTTCTTTTTTTGATTTAATATTTTTTCTTCTATAATAATTTGTTATATTTAGTTTGTACTCGATGGTATCGTGCACCTGAATTAATGTTATTAAATGGTATTTATACAGCATCAATGGATATGTGGTCAGTTGGTTGTATTCTAGCCGAGCTTATTTATGGTCAACCACTTTATCCAGGTCGACATCATTTAGATCAATTACGTTTAATTGTTGAACATCGCTGTGGTTCATTAGGGTTTTCTTATCCTCAACAAAAAACTGCTTATTCAACAATAACTGAAAAATCATTAAATTTACTTCGTCGTACATTATCCAAATGTCCGAATGAATATCCAAGTGTATTTTCACCATTAGACTCAAATGTCTTTGTTCCTGGTATTGATAAACATGCATTCGAATTATTAGAACAATTACTCCGTATGGATCCATCAGAACGTATAACAGCTGATGATGGTTTACGTAGTTGTTTATTTGATAATTATCGTAAAGAAGCAAGTGGAGAACCATCATCAGAAGAAGCATTTCAACTTGATTTATCACCTTATAATCTTCAAGAAATTCGTTCTATGCTTTTTCAAAAAGTTCGTCTTATTCATCAACAAATGCAAGATAAAGCACTTTTTTTAAATGAAAAAAAATTGGCTATGGAAGAAATGGATTGTTGTTAAAATGAAAAAAAAAAAGAAAAAGACACAATAGTTATCTTCTTCTCTATGAATTGAGAAGGACGTTCTTCTTTCCTATTTTAGAAAACAAAAATCATGAAGAAGAAAATAAATTTTTTTCTTCATTTTTTTTAAAAATATTTTACAAATGCAAACAGATCTCACCTGAAGAGAGTGTGTTTTGTAGATTTTTTCCGTTCTTCGTTTCATCCGTTTTTTTTTTTTGTTCCTTTCATTATTTTAGTAGCATAGACATTTTATTTATATTTTATCATTTCTTTATGTTGGTTGTCGTTGAACGTTTTTTATTTCAAAAACAAACCGTACTATTTTCAATAAATAACAATGACATAGCCGAATTCCATTTTTTATTCATAAGTGTTTCGAAAGAAACCAAAAAGTTTCAATTAAAGAATGATTTGATTTAATAAAGTGAATGCGGGTTCTTAACATTGACTTAGGCAAAAAATAATCTGAATTTTATACTCAATCTTTTCCAATGTTATTTAAACTTTGACGAAACATAAACCTAAATTTTATCCATGATAGTTTTTAAAAATGCAGACCTTTACTTGATATTCTTGGTGAAGTATATTTACACAAATGTTCAGATCTACTGCATTTATGGTAGCCTTAAATCTCTAGAGAGAGAAAAGACTTGTTTACTAATGTAGGCCTTTTCTATCATGATAAATACGATTATATCGAATATAATTCTGATTGTTTAGTATCTAATGGAAAAACAAGTTTTTTATGGAATGTAGTTCATCACTGGTTCAAAATCATCATTGCATTGGTCTGCTCTTTCCAATATGCCTTATCTTAGAAGGACGTTAAGATCACTTTCACTCTCCTGTATGTAACTTCATTGCTTACGTCTTTGATGAAAGTAACAAGAAAGATGTTAAACTGGTTCATAACAAAATATTACGAAAGTTTTATTTCTATGCATCACAAAAAAAAATAAAGCTAACACTACAAAAAACTATGCAAAATAGTGATTTTGGACTATTTATATTCACAGAAAAAGGAACAAAGGAATTATTCAGATGGATATTTGTCAAATAAATATACAAAAGACTAAGTCTACAAGGAATAAATCACTGGCATAAATATATTTAATAAATAATAATTCGATGTGATCGACCCCATTCAGTGACAAAAACAACACCTTGACTTGAAACAGTTAGTCCGATTGGACGATCAAATTCAACTTTTAAAAGAGCAAGATCATCATTGGATGATTCAGAATTTTTATCACTAACAATTGCTGAAAGTTCTCCAGTTGGTGTAAATAACTAAAAGAAAAAAGAACACATATTTTTCTATAATAAATAAAATATTGTTATTTTACTTGTAAACGATTATTTACCCAATCAGCTACCTAGAAAAACATGTGTATTCATGATAAAATAAATCTTAATTAAAACAAAAAAAAAATTTACCATGAAAAACCCTTCATCATCAATAGCAATTCCTCTCGGATATCGAAATTCTCCTGTATTACCACTTCCTAATTTTCCAAATGTAAAAAGAAATTGTCCATTCAATGTAAACACTTGTATACGATGATTATTAAAATCTGACACAGCTAATATATTTTGTCGACAACAAATAAAATCTGGTGCATCAAAT